ATGCCAGACTCTCCGGCTCATCTTTAATGCAACAGCCACAAAGAGCGAGCCAGCCGGCAGCCGCCCGGCATCTCTTCCTGGCATGCGGCGCGGGCGTCTCGGGGCTCCCCGCACAGAGGCCGGGCCGGCTGAACATGGATGATTTTTAGCTGGGGGAAACCCCGACATTCTCCCCCACACACACACACAAGAGCACCCTACTAGAAAGTCACTTCTCCCCTCCCTCCGGGCTTATATTGCCTGCACAGGCTGGCAGCCACATCTCTTGAAAGATATGGGCTGGATCCTTTCCAGCCTGGCCTGGAGAGACTCTGGATGGGACATGGTCCGTGTCGTACAGCAAAGGAGGGTTTGGGTTGATTTATTTTGTTCTGGTGGGTTTTCTTCCCACCGGCGAGACGCGTCCTCCCTTTCTCCGAACGGCACCCCTGCAAGGTAGGACAAGCTGCGGGCTCAGGGCCAGCCCGAGCTCCCCCGGGGAGGTTCGTGACTCAGGGGGGACCACAACGTGGATTCCCCGTACTGAGAGTTAAACCCAAATTAGCTTCACAAACCCACCTCCTATTCATCGTTTTGCTTCTAAGAACGTCAAAAACCAGGATCAAGTTTCTCGTTCCGGAAACCACCCCCCTGCAAGGCGGGCCCACCCGGGGAGAAGGCATTTCTCTGAATCCCCCCCGTTTGGGTGCCAGGCCTCGCTCAACCTGGGGTGACTCTCCAGCCATCTCACCCAATGATTGCCACAACGCGCAAGTGGGTCAAGAATGGAAAAGTCATTGGGGGGCACTCCAGTTCCCATCATCCCTACCCAGAAGAACTAACAAGGGGATTTTGGAATGCGCAGTTCAGAAAGGTCACTCTTCCAACCCAGCACCAGTACAGCGCCTGAATTAGGCCTCTCAGAATACGAAGACACACACACACACACACACCCGCACAAGGAGGTGAATTCTGAATATCGCTCGCCGTAATGCAGGGGGTGGAAGCCATCAGATTCGCCCACCAGGTGCTTGGCACAGGAACAAGGGAGGAAATTGCCAGCTTGCCACCATCTGAGTCTATGTCGCATTGATCCCCAGGGGGTCACCGGGTGGAAGAGAGAGGTGGCGTTACTAGCCTGGAACATGGAGAGGGGACTTGCAGACAGATGAGAGAAACAGCCCAGAATGAGCCCCAAGTCCCTGAAATCCTAACCACTGGTGTGTAAAGGGGAAACCCGATGGGTTGCACACTCCGGGTTGGTTTGCCACACCATCTTCATTTGGCCCACACACACCAAAAAAATGCTGCAAACCAGCCAACGTGGACGCTGTTTTCTGGGATTCTCGACCGAAGAATTAGCGCTTCACTGATGCAGCGCTGAACCAGATGCGTACCAAGATTTTCTCATCCCAGCCAAAAACCAGATTTTCTCATCCCAGCCAAAAAACAAAACATGCCAAGATGTTCCCAGGCATGCCATCAAAGAACGCTCACTCACTACGAGATTGACACATCTGGAGAAGAGTAAAAAGGACCCAAGTTCTTTTGGGGGGGGGAGGAAAGAAGCCACGAACGTACAAAATTTGTGCAATAAACCCTCCCCATACTTTGTATCATGCGTGGAATGCAATGAGCAAACGACGAAAACCGTTCGCTCCTGCTAATTTTTCACCAAAACCGCCCCCACCCACAAATGTGAAAAAGCCACAAAAATCACCTAGCGGAGAGAAAACGTCCTCATTTTCTCGTTTCAAGTTACAAGACAAAATCATTACAAAATAAATGCCTCTAGTATGAACTTCGCTGTAACTGTTGGACTGCAAAAAGCATCCAGGGATCTAATGATCTGAACCACTGCGAGGGCAATAAGGCCAATAAAACCATCACATGGGGTTGGCCATTGGCCATCTTTTGGCTTTTCCAAATGGACTATTTGGCGCTATTATTTCTAATTATTTCCATTCCTCTTCCTTCCTGGGAGCATCTTCCCATGGCTTCCTCATTCAGAAGGAGGCAGCCCCACAGCCCGCCACGCCCTGAAAATATCGAAACCCGCTTTAGGGGCTTCTGTGAGCGAGTTTAGGGTTCGTTTCCTCCTGCACTATCTCTGCCCGGAGGGCCAAAAAACAATCCATTGTGCGGCTTTGTGGCTGAATTTAAAAGGTGTCGCCTCCATTGATAAGCCCAGAAACCCGCTTTAGGGGCTTCCATGAGCGAGTTTAGGGTTTCTTTCCTCCTGCACTGATGGCTCAAAGAAATCTGAATCCTAAAAGATCTTTATAACCGCCAGGAACCCAGCGCTCCAGAGGGTGCCCACCCCCAAGCTCAGCAAAAAGCCCCTCTCTGCACTCATTCTGCACATATCCCTCTCCGCCCTCGCCAGCCAGTAGGCAAGCGCTTTTTCTTCCAGAACTGCAGGCGCGTCAACGATCTGATCGATGCGAGCAATTGATTTCCATTCCCCTGCAAAGCTTTTGACTTTCAGCCCCGACCTCCCCTCTCCGGGAGCTGCTACGGCTCATGAAGTAAGCGCCATTCCCTCCCCCTGTCACCGCCGCCTTCTTCCCTTCTCCATCCGTGTGACTACGGGTGTCTCTCTCTCTCTGTGAAAACCCTTATAAATATATATATTTCTGTCCCAGAAGCAAAAAAAAGGCAGAAGCGGTCCCGATTTTCTGCACCGCAGTATCTCATGCTCAGGATTCTCCCAAGGAGCAGGGCAGCGTCCTTGATTCGAAACCTACGCAAGGGGAAAGAACAAACCCTCCCCCCATGCCAAAGAGGCTCGTCTAGATATCCTTTGGGGGACCCGTGTCCTATTTCACCCCTCTAATGTTCCCATCTCTGCAGCCAGCGACCCAGCCATGTTTGAGAAGCAAAGGCACGCCATCCGCCTTCCCGTGTCCTCTGGCGGATCGCCTGCGCGCCTACTCTGGGGTTGACTTATTGCAGAGAAATCGGCTGAGCTTTCCCCCTGTCCTTCTCTCTTCTTTTTTGCTGACGCTGGAAGTGGTGATGGTGGGGGAGGTAGAGGACTTTATTGGAAAGAGGAGGGTGAGCCAGGATGGGAGCAGCCACTTCAGGCTGATAACGTCGGAGAAAACGGCAGCCGCATCTTAATAAGGATGGCTCAACGGTGCTCCGGCCTCTTCGAGACAGGCGAGGGGGAACAACACCTTTTGGAAGGGTCGGATTCTGTAAGGGTCCAGAATCAAAACCTTGGATAGACAGGGTTTCAATTCTGGCCCCTTGCCGAATCCAGCCCTTACAAAAGCTCTCACCCCCCCCACTCGTCTTGCCTCTGTGCCTTATAGAGACGCCCTTTCCTTCAAACCACCATTCCCGCACCAGCATCCCAACTCTCATCCAATTTCAGCGGTTAAAAGCAAGTTCTCCTTGGTTTTATACTTGGACGGGAGAACTGACAAGATCATTCTGGGGATTTCCTGGAAGGGAAAAATCTGGATGGAAATCCCAACAAGCTACAGCTATCAGCCGGACCTCGCGGGGGAGATGAACCCGGAGGATTTGAGACTCCATAAGGCATTCTGGCATTCCTTAACCAACGCGGACCGCCTTATTTTGGAAGATATTCAGAGCAGGGAAAATGTCCCAGTAAAGGGAGATGCAAAATTAAAACTCCACATTTTACGCGTCCCGTTCGAACTCAACACATCTTTCGCCTGCAGAAAACAAGAAATCCACCAGGCAGACTTTATAATTTCCATTTGACGGCCGTTCACCCTCTTCTGCCCAGGCCAGAAATTGAGCGGGCGTGAGAAGCAGGAAGACAACTCATAGCCCATTTTTAACTACAAGACCCAGCACTCTGGCTCTTGCCGGCTGGGGGATTGTGAGTTTTGTAGTCCCCCTCTCCGGGGACTTATATCAGCTTCCAGAATCCACCTTAATTACTAAAAAAGATCCTTCTTGCCCCTAAAGAAAGTGACAGCTGCAAGAAACCCATATCAGCTGCAGATTTACGGCCCTGGGGTTTTGCTACCAATTAAAAGGGATCAGGTGATCCTCAGGCCGGCTGGGAGTCTCAGATGAACCGGGGTCAAGGTTGGGTGGCAGGAAATCAACCCTCCCTCCCTGTGGAGGAGTCGGGGAGGAAGGCCCAGCGTTCTTCCAGGATGCAATCCTGGAGCTTTGGGGGTTTTTTTTAAATCCCCTTTTCTCTTTTATAATGGGTGCAATATATTTTATTTCATTGCATTGCATTTTTTGTAAGCCATGGCAAATTTTCTCTCTGCGAAAGATGGGAACAGTGGAGAAGGGGGGACCTGTGATAGAACCAACCCTCTCAGTTATTCTGGCATCCAGCAGAATTACACAGAGCTCTGAAATTCTCTCTCTGGAAACACCCAATAGATAGAAGTTGGATGTTCAAAGCACTTTGGCAGTGGGATTTTCAAGAACAGCTGGACCATGGTCACAAAAGAAGTTCCACATCTGTTTTGCTAGCAATCTTACACAAGCCGGAGGGGAGGGGGGAGATCACACTTGAGGATTAGAACTCCCAGCATGCTGAGCTGACTGGGGATTAGGGGGCATATAGTCCAAAGGAGCAATTCCCCACCCCCCCGAAAGTCTGGTCTTACAGGGTCCCCTTCTCTCTGGCTGAAGAACTTAAAACCCTTAAGACTTAACCCTTACCCAAAAAAGTGATGTGCTGGTTATAATTCATTCTCTCCGGCTCTTCATTGGGGAGTGGAAAAAAATTCAGAAAGGTCAAGGGATAAATGGGGGGAAATGGGTCGCAAACACACATACACAAACTTGCGCTCCACGGCACCCGGCTTCTAAGAGGCCTTAAGTTTAGCACGACAGCCGCCAGATTTCTCTCCCCCCTCTTTCTTGGCAATTCCCTATTTGACTGCTCCTGAACAGGGAGGCTCCACCTCTCCAAGTCACAGACGAATCCAAACAGACGGCAAGGCCCGTCTCGTAAAAAAAATGTGATTGCTAGAAAGCCGACGGAGGGCGGAGGGTGTCCCCGTTCCCGGATCACCTACCTCTCTCGCGGACGAAATAGGCCAAGTAGAGATCAAGCTCCTTGACCGACACACTGATATGGTGGGGCTGGACGCAGAGGACTGGGTTGGTGCACTGGGCGGCCTTCACCAGGCGCTCCCCGTCGGTGCTCTCCAAAGGGATTCCCTTAAACAGGATGACCATCACAAGGTCCAGCCGCCAGACTTTATCGGCCTGGCGGAGGCAGTCAATCCGGCGCATCTTGCCCTTCTGGTCTGGGTTCGAGAGGACGCAGCAGGAGGGCTTCTTCCCCGTGATGGAGAGGACGAAGTCCTCGCGGCACTCCGGCCGGATGTCCTTCCGCAACTTGGCCAAGAGGCGGGAGGCCCACTTCTGCTTGACCTCCGGCTTCTCGTTCAGCAGCTCGTCCTTGACGGCCCGCTCCTCGTCCTTGGTCATGCGCTTCTCGTGCTTCTTGAAGTACTTGCGCTTCCGGGCCTGGAGGTTGAACCAGGTGTACGCAAAAGCTCGCACGTGGGGCAGGAGGGCCTCAATGAAGGGATGGAACTCATCCTAGAAAGCAGGAGGACCAGAAAAACACAAGACCATCAGGACATAGAACGGACAACTTTGCGTCAAAGAACACCTTGTTCCTCTACGCCTCATCCCTATCGACGTCCCATCCTGAACCCGGGCAAAGTTATAGGCCAACTTCCCCCCTTTCCTCTCCTCATGTCTCCCCCTTAAAAGCTCAGGAAAACTCTTGGAGAAGCAAAGAACCCAACTATTAATGAGGTCTCGCCAGCAACAAAATTGCACAATTCATAGAGCGAAATGAGGGTTTTTGTCTTCTAACAGTGTAGGGACAAGGTCTCCAGAAAATGGTTATTTCTAATATCTCCCTTTCCGATCGGAAATGGTTTGAAGACCAAGCATGGGATGGGTGGAGAGGACTATAATGGGTGCAAACTTGGGCGCAGGCAGCTACAACTCCCAGAAATCCTGGCCAGCACAGCTCGCGGCAGAGGCTCTTGGGAGATGTAGTCCCAGAGCATCTGAGAACCCATGGTAGGGAACCATTACTTTAGCCCGTCCTGGGAGGCGGTGTTTCGGGAACATGGACACGGCCTCCTTCTTGTGGCATCTTTGCCTGCCGAAGAGACCTGTGGGTCTCAAAAAGCTGGCGCAGAGATCCCAAATCAATAATCTGCCTATTCCAGGGTGCTGACGCATGCCAGTCTCCTCCTTCCCAGCTCTGAATAAATTTTGCTAGACAACCATGAGTTGAAATGCAGTCAACAACGGTGGAATTTTTTAACCTCTTATTTTGGAAGGGAAGGCTGGAAGATAGGAGAAAGACTGGGTATGCAGTAAATAGTTTAAACATATATTTTTTAAAATTTTAATCCTATCATAAGTTTGATTCTACTCTGATACGGTGTGACTGGCTGAAATTGTGTCACACAGTTACGGAAGTTAACGGCATAACTTTTAGCAGCGAATCACTACAACTTAAAGAATCTCCATAGACATTACCTGTTGCGTACGGAGAAGCGTAACCGGGCGTGCAATCAAGCACATCTATGGAAATTTTTAACATTTCCATCCATTTGCCACAGAAGATTACCCCTTTTCCATAACTGTGTGACCAGATTTGGGCCATGGCATTAATTTTTTTTAAAGTATATTGTAAATCGCCACAGGTCCCAGTTCTGGGGGAAAGAAGGGATATAAATAAACAAAATACAGTTGTCAATAAAGGTGGCAAAAGCAGCAAATGTCTCCTCTGTGATGGTTGTCGATTCATCCTCGTTAATCTGGGGGATTCGGTGCCCGAACGAACGAGGCCTTCGCCCCTCGTTGGCACGAATGGAGAATGCAAAATTATTTTCGCAACCGGCTGGGACTGGATCTCTCCCAGCGGAAATCGTAAAAAATCTGGTTCCCCTTTATGATTAATTGGACGTTCTGTCCTTCCCACCAGGCTCTGGTGCCAAAGAAAATGGAGCTACACGGAGAGTTCCTGGAAACAGTTTGGTGACTTTCGGAGCTTTTTGCCAGAAGGCGGCGAAGGCCTGGTTTTCCAGACCACGCCAGTGTCTGGCCTCGACCGGCCTGGCGCGACGGGGAGGCAGAGACGCTGGCCGGGAGAAAGGCTCGGATCCAAAGGCACAAGAAAGAGGGGAAGACAATTTTGGAAGCACGCTGTGCTCCACATCCGGAAGGAAGCAGCAAAACAGAACAAAAAAGCCTGAAATATTTCAAAACATTCGGTGCATCAAGACGACGATTTTCGACGGGCTTCTGTTAAGAAAAGTCGTTAATTTGTTTTTGTTGTTACGGGCCCTCGGTACATGTCTGTCCTGCTTTTCTTTCAACAAGAACTCGGTGGTTCTCTGCACCTCTTGGTTTTCGCAAAACAAAACAACAACTGCACAATACGCCAGGTGGGAGGGATTGTGATGGGCCCTGACGGGTTGTCCTGGGGGGTAGAGTTTCGAACCCAGGCCACTTAACATCTCACCCCTTGGAAGACAACCATTGCAACACCCTTTGGGTGCAACCCCCCTTCTATTTTGTGGGAAACACTTTGCCTATTCTGGAAAATGCCTGGCTGTTGCATTGCCAGGTTGGGAATTTTTAGCACAGTTCCAGGAACCCCAACCGTTTCTGATCCACCAAATATGGCACATGGGATATGTAGCCTCATCCTCAACTGCAACAGATGGCCCTGATCTCTGTGAATTTAGCCAATGGCCTTCTCAAGTCATCCAAGGAGAAGCTGCCACTGGCTATCATGTAGCAGAGAGTTCCGCAGGGTGCCATGGAAGAAAAGCCCTTCCTGAATGGCTCCAGATGCTTTCTCATATTATGTCCACAGTCAACACTTCCTTTCCTCTGGTTTCATGTCTACGCGTTTCCTCCCCGCCTTTCTCGCAGGACATCCCCGGATTTAGATAAATGCTACGGCGCGGATTATTGGGGAGGAGTAGGAAGGAAGAGGATCTGGACAGACCAAGAGAGTCGGAAGGTCGCGAGAGGACGTTGGCTGTTCACCACCGAGGAAGCGGAGCAAGAGGTCAAGCCAGGCGAGGGCTCTCAGGAAAGTAATTCATTAGCCAGCTTGTACATCCGTGTTCCCTCTCAATAATCCGTAACTGGATTTCGGCTTTCCGCAAGAGCGCCCATTCCCCGGGGGGGGGTGCTTTGCTCAGCATCCCTCCTCTTTGCCTTTCGCTCCCGAGTTCAAATGGCACAAGGACCTGGTGGTCCACCTTTCCTGCCTGCGAAGCGCTGGGGCTGCGGCCCCCAAGCCTGCCCCCCCCAGATGTTCTTGGACGACAACTCCAAGCTCTGGTGGTCAGGATTTCCGAGAGCCGCCGTCCGAGAACGGTCCAAAAGTTGGCAACCACCATTGCTCAGACATCGCCCTCGGAGACCGAGGTCAGCAGGCTTGGGGCCACGAAGAGGGAGCATGGCAGTGGCCTCAGCCGCCAACCCCCCCCCCCCAATGACGGGTCAAGCTTGACTGCAGAAGCTAAGAAGGATTCGTCTTTGCAGTTCGGAGAGCATGAACTGTCCCCACCGGCGTAGATGACCTCCAGATGCTTTTCGGAAGGGGGTTAACAGGGGTTAATGTTTCCAAACGGTGTTGTTCTTAGATGCCGAGACTTACACATCTCTTCCTGCTCATCTTTTCTGAGCCCACGTATGCCAGTCTTAACCCCCCAGAATCATCCTCATCATCCTCCAGGAGCCAAAATGCAACTTCCCACTCTGAAAGCCACAACGGCCAGCCAAACCTGGCGGAACGAAAAGTTTACTTTTAGGTAAAACTAATCTCCCCAATGGCAGAGCCGCGAAGGGACCCGAGAGATCATCCAGTCCAGCCCCTCTCAAGGAGGCCCCGTGGGGGATTCAAACTCCCAACCTCAGACTCTACTGCCAGAGACCTCCACCCGTGAGCTATCCAGCCAGCTCTGAATTATTTCCAGCAAAGGATTTCCACTTGCATAAAAGTCGAATCCAGCACCAGCGGGTTGCAATTTCCCCCTTCAAATTACCCTGACCGCAGCCTGCTGGTAGGCCCCCCACGAAAAATAATCCAGCTCCAGAGCGCTAGATTGTGTTTATTTCTACAGTAAGGTTGCCGGGAGGGAAGAGGAAGCAAATATCTCAATGCTAACGCCGCGCTTGGTTTGGGCCGAAGATTTTCACATACCTTGAAAGGATTCTTTGTGTATTTACGGGCAGCTTCCTGCCAACTTTTACTCCAGTTTTAGATTGCAAGGCCGTGAGGCACAGAGACAGCTTTTGGTGCTGACAGGAGTGCCCTGACGGGAGATCAACCGGAATTTAGAAACTGGCTTCCATTTCAACATGATCAGAACTCACTCCTCATGCCTACTTCGGCACCCCTTCTCAGTCGGAGAATTTAGGGGCTCGCGATTGAAGAAATCTTCAATTTCATGGAGACGGAGCTCACCTCAATGAGCCTTCTGCCCTTAGGTTGACTACGTGTTCTATCGTTAAAGTAGTGGCACTAAGAGTCGTTTGCTAGATTCCCCCGTGGGCCTCAATTCGGGCTCTCTCCATGGAACTCTCGAATCCTGAACTTAGAAATTCCACGAGAGTCTTTGCCTTCCGCCTAAAGTGAGATGAACAGCCATTTCTGAGGCCCTCAAGAGCCGGGAAAGTTTGCACCAAAAAGCCTTTCCTTCTGGAAAGCTTCAAACAAACGCTTCAATGAGGTGGCCATCAGAAGTGCTTCAAATACATTGCCAAAGCAAAGTCATCCGAATTCTGGACAAACGAGACATTTCAGCAAATTCTCACCGGCTCGAAAATGGCAGAATTTCGCAGAACGAAGGCCCTCTTTTTGCAAACATGGGTCATTTCCTGCAAAATGTCATTCTTTCCGACACGAAAACTCTGTCTGGGATGGTAGAATAGTCCTCACCACTCTTACTGGTTAGGGGGAATTATTCACTTTTTTTAAACAGCAAACTAACACTGCAATAAATGCAACAGTGAGGAGGAGGATATTTGTACTGTATTGGAAAAAGTTAATTTTGGAATTAGAAGGCTGCCTTTCTGGATTGTACTCCCCATGATGATTCACCTTTGGCTCATCTGGCTGGGGCTGATGGGGCTTGTAGTCCACAGCCATCTCTAGGCACACACTTTGCTCTCCCTAATTTTGCTCCTTGGGGGAGCTAAATAAGACCGGACTCCAGGCCCATAAGATTGACTCATCTCCTCCCCAAATACAGGGTTGACTCAAGATCACATTGTGGTGGCGGGAGATAATACACAGCAGCTGGCCGCTTCTCCAAGGCAGTTAAATTTAAAAAGGACCAATAACGTAGGCAAGGCTGTTGCTGAAATTCTTGTGGGACTGTTAAAAAAAACACACACCTCCAAAACCGCACACCCGAGCCGAGATTCTTAACGGCTGGGTCATCCCTACTAACGCATCCCTAGGGGGGTGGTTTTATAAGAACGGGCCAACATCTTCTGAATGGCAGCGTGGAATTTCCCTGGCAGCCCATGTACTTCTTTTTGATCAGGAA